TAGAGACATGTGGATTGCAGAAAAGAAAAAAATTAACCTATGTTTATATGTTATGTATTAAAAACGTAAATCATTGTGAATCTAAAATCAAACTTAAATAATGTAAAATTTCGAAATTATTTTCTTCATTAAATTTATAAATTAATTTAAAATATAGTTATTCAAATATTTATTTTTATATATTTCAAATACATTTAACCTATAGGTAAGTAGTGGTTAAAATGAAAAAAAAATTAAGAGTTTGAGGGAGGTTAGAAATAATACTGACTAATAACTTTTTTTTAACCTTTAAATATTATTTATATAGGTTTATATAGATTAATATTCTTATATGTTGTTACAAACTTATAATTTTCTTGTTGAAAAACTTTATACCTTTTTCAAAAATCAATATAACATCACAACATACCTTATTTTGAGTATTTCATAATTACTTTAGAACTATACCTAAACATTTATAAATATAATATACGTATTAAATGATTATACATATATAAATTAAATTAATTTACAAATTTTTTTTTTTATGAGTGGAATCAGTAATTTCAATATTTCTTCTGTAGTAGCAGTCTTTTTATAGAAACGAGTACGTTATTATAGAAGCTTATTACAATTGTATATCGTATCACTGTTTTATTAAACATCATAGCCATGTTCGTTCGTGGTTATTACCATTTATCATTTTCACTAAGTTTTTCTTTAGCTCAATACCTGATGAATAAATCCACACAAGAATGTCTTCCATTGATTACTGTAAATAGTTGATTTTATTTTAATCTCTTTATAGCTAATCAGTCGAAGTACTTGTCGGTTTTTTTTTTTAAATAATTTATTTAATGTGAGTTTATAAGTTAAATAATAACTGAAAGAAATTCATAAAATATTCTAGTAAAGACTAAAGATACTGTACGTGAAACATATAGGTATACGATTAATTTATGGAATTTCACAGTGACACACTATTGACTGTTATCAAAACTATAAATACAATAAGATACTTTTAATAATCAAAAATGTTATTAACATTTCAGTAATTATAATTTATTTGTTTATAATAAAAGTATAAAATAGTTTATAAAATAAAAAATATATTTATGTGGGCCGTGCTACAGCTGATCAAAGAATAACTTTTGAATACGGGGACCTTCTATTTATTATTTATGATTAGACGATAATATTGTCTATACGGTTTGACCGAAGTTTCGTCAGAGATACATTCGCATACGTAGAAAAGAGATTGGCTTCTCATATTCTTGAAAAAGGAACTAATGGCCATAAACGAAAAAAAAAAAACAGAGGGAAAATGGCAAAATGAGCAAATAATCGACTATAAACGTAAAATAACTGTGTTAAAATTTTAAGTTATTGCTTCTATTACTGCATCAATTATCCATACGTTTGTAGATAGACTACACGTCATAGCCGTATAGTGCCTATTCCAAGAAATCTTTGAAACCGTATGCCCTGCAGCAATCTGGTGCGCGTGTAGTGATGTAACTATTAACTATTGGCCACATGCAATCATATCTATTTAATGACATTAAAATTCGCCAAGATTTAAATAATGAACAATAAAGAAAGGGAGAACCAAAGAGAAACCTCTTAGATTTGTACGGCTTATAAAAAAATATGATTGAAAAATATTTAAAGTATTTTCTCGTATAAGATATAACTATAGGTAAACTATTATATTATTAATTGTTTTAATGATATATTAAACATCTATTATTTCAATAACTAGCTTAAAAAATACCACGTATCGTAAAACAAAATGAATAGGTTTTTGGTATAAATAGTTTAAATTGGTCTGAATAATTTTACGCCAATGAAATATTTTTTTTTGCGCTATTGTGTTGCGTTTGGGTCATATTTTATACTAATGAGCTATAGCGATTTCATCGAATATAGAAAAAAATAATAATGACGTAAGTATATTCTGATTTTCAAATTTCTATAGTTAATATTTTTTTTTAATACAAAATAATAATCAAAATCGTTATTTTTCACTAATTATCGAATTTTGATTAAATTTAAAATATCTAGATTTTTAAAACTACATTAGTATATTATCAATTAATTATATTGGAATATTGTTATAAATACAATTTTGTGAAGAACCTTACTGTATTATATTTTTAAACTTTTAGAACAAAATCAATAAATTTATCAAAATTTATATAAAAAAATCTACAAATTCTTATAAATAGTTTAAAATTATTTTATTAAATTATATACCTATAGATAATGAAAATTTAAATAACAGTTGATTTTTTTAAGTTTTTACAATCATATTTTTTTGAATTATAATAAAAAAAAGTTTGAAAATAAATAATAGTCATATATAAGTACGTTTAAATATCTGATGTCGTCAACAATTTGAATTTCAAATGTTTAGAACTAAATTGTTGATATGTGTTTTTGATATTATTTAATTTTTTGAGAAAAATTTGTGAATAGTAGTAGTTTTTTTAATTAAAACCATAAATGATATTACATATATATAAAAAAAAAAAAACCTTAATAAAGTATACGATTTAAACATTTTTAATCAACACAAAAAAGCAGAATAGTTTTAAATTGTATGGGAAGCAAAAACATGGAGAATTTGTGATATTTTCAAGTCTCTATAGTAATTTATTTTTTAATAATTATGACAAAAATAAAATCTATTTGATCGAAAATCCGTTTTGCGTAAATACTTCAACAGGTATCCGTAATTTTTTTCCTGGAATTTTTTATACAAAGATTTTTTACATTTTAGTCATTTTACCCCTTAAAATTCTAAATTAATTCAATTTTATACTTCAAAAATAAATATTGAACTATTTGGTGATGATAACTTAAAAAAAAAAACACTTAAATATTAAATCAATACATCACTCTGTCCAGAATCTATAATTATACTAATTTAACCTCTCTACGATGACGTATATAAGTCTAATATATGATTATACTTTTATTTAGTGTTTAGATAGTATATACAATAAACAAATTTAAAAATACTCGTATTTTTAAATTGTTTAGTAAACGATTTGTTTTAATGACAAGTAATAGGGTCCAAGGCCGCCCCTTAATATATAAATTAATTATAATTGTACTAACAGTAGCAAAGTTATTTTGTAATTCGTTTTTATAATAATTGTAAAATGATGTGTTTTATTTAAATATAATAATGATAAATTATTATGCTGTGCAGTATATGCAATATACGATAAAGATTATTATTGATAATTTCCATTTCATACACCTTGGCGGTAGATATGATACTTGGTATAAAGAATGTATAAGTACAAGATTTTTTTTAGAGAATATTGAATTTTTTGAATTCCAAATTTATGTTTGTAAACACAATTCTAAAATTTGAGATTACAGTATGATGGTGTATTGGTGTATGCACGTGCCACTGTAGTTACGTCACTAAGTGCATAGTTAGCCTGAAACGAAATTTCAATTACATGTTGTTGTCTCAAATCCTATTAATCATTCATAGTAATATTACAGCTAATGGTTGAAAAAATATGTAGGTATCTACGATAGTACAATCTACAGGTTTTCAGTCAAAAAAACACAAAACTTTTTGAAAAACTAGGAAGAAAACTTACAAAACCATATACAATTTCGTCAACATTAAGATTTCACCACCATTCAAAATTTGAAGGAGTCATTCCACAGCTATTGGAACTTTGTGTACTACAGACACACATTTATGATAATTGGTTTGAGGGAAATGTGGTTATGTGGTGATTTAAATAGTTAAGTAATTTTATCTATCACATTTATAATTGACAAAATTAATCCAAGTACAATGAATATCTACTAAATTAAATATTACATTTTACCTTAAACTTGTATTAAACTATTTGTAAAGGATTATAGTATTTTTAATATGAACATTTTAATAACTGAGAAACTTTTCGTTTAAATTTTTAAAATAAAATAGTTAAACATTTTCAAAAAAAAAAAAAAAATAAAATAAAATAAAAATAGCCACTAAAAATAATTTTTAGTAAAATCGAAGGGTTCACGTTTGAAAATCGGAGAATTCTATCGCCAAAAGACACTCCCAAAGTGGTCTAAAAAATCATAAGAATTTGAAAATGTATATGTTGCTTAGTTAGTATACTTAAAAATTCCGAAAATTAGTAGGTTGCAAAAACTAAATCTTTATCGAACTTTTATCTTGTTTACGCAGTCGTCGTAGTATTGCGTAGACAGGTGGGCGTATACGATTTTCTAATGTTTATTATCTGTTCTTTCAAACTCCAACGTATCGGTGTATAGAACGTATTCGCGGCAGTTATTTCCACGATTCGAAACTCTTCCTCGTTTTCGCGAATTTCGTCACGCGAGACACACACACACTGTCTGAATATGCCCCGCCGCATTGGCACACCGGTGGTGGTTATACGGTTTACGTAACCGTGCCGCGAGATACGTATAATATTATTAAATATAATATAGGCACACACAAACACGCACACACAGGTGGTGTGTATAATCACATCTATCATTATTATTAAGTGTGTGTACAATTGTACAAGACGAACGCATTACGTGTTTTTTTCTATTGCGCGGGTCCGGTAGGCAGAAGGTTATACTGCAGTTGGATATGGAGAGAGACAAAGAAAACACAGAGGGAGAGAGAGAGAGTGAGAGAGAGAGAAGAGAGTGAGTGAGAAGGAGAGACTAAGACAGACAGAAAGACAGAGAAAGTCAGACAGAGAGAGAGAATAAGAGGGTGAGTGGGAGTGAGAGTGCGACGAGCGGTAATCGCGTACATGTACACAACCGCAAACGCGTGACCTCTTGTTTTTACCGACACAGTAATAATAAAATGACCTAACCGACGATGACGTTATGTAGGTACATAGCGCGCGCATAGGAATGTTTAATCATATCATTATAGATACCTATCAACACCCCATTCCGAGCGGAGACTCCCCTCCTCATCCGATTCCTCTTCCACCGCCTACCACGTTTAGAGCCGCAGTTCCCCCGATCGCGGCAACAGCCATGTAATTATACGTCGCATTCGGTGCGTTTCAACTTTCTTTTGGAAACGTCTAAGAGTCTGCGGCGATCGGCGTCCTGTACACCTGTACCAGACCGCCACAGTGTTCCGCACACACCACATACACGCACACGCCGTATTTGTCACGCTCAATCGGTCTATGGCGCGAGTTTGACGAATCAACCCGTTGCATATACAATAAAACAATTATTAATAACAACGCCGATTTCGACGGCCCGAACGCTGTAAAAAGGTTTGCGTATCTGCCAGACGGTGCGATTCCAAGATGCCCAAGTACACAGCCTCAGGTAACTTTCAGCCATAGCTTTAGCTACATATACACACACACACACACACACACACACACATACATATACGTATGCACACCACGCCAAATAACGTTTGAAAATTATAATCGCAATTTAAAAACTTCACTTTTAGGCCCATATTTCATTTCTTCGCCGCGTACGAGAAACGTTGGCGTTTTCGTTTTTCCGTCCCCGACAATAAATAATAGGCGTTCAGAACTCAAGTCACCGCCACTCCCTTTGGAGTCCGGTTCGGTCAGTTATCGTAAACAAACTATAACACGTGTGTTTAGTACGGCGTAGTTTTTTCCAGTGTCATATTTTTATATACTCCGTTTTATTGGAAATCGTCGATAATTACAGCTGCTAATGAGGTATTACGTAGGAACCCACTTAATATTATTTACTGCGCGCCAGACTTTTATTTTCGCTCATTAAAACTCCTCATCCAACAAATAACACAATGTTATATTTTGTACGACCCGCGAAATCTGTTTTTATTTTAACGAGTATAAACGTTTATTGTAATTGAGCGAAGTATTAAAACATTTATGTATCATATTGATGTATAACAGAATGTAATACTAATTATGTGTGTTTATTGTCCTATTAAAAAATAAAATGTTATTGATATTATTATTGTAATAAGTAGGTGTTTATTGGTTGTCATTATAAAATATAGATATTTCAGATATATGAGATTATAACATTGATTTAGGAAATTAAGTAAAATACCATAAAATATTTAGGAAATTAGGTAAAATACCAGATTGAGTATGTTATTGCATTTATCACAATTTGATTTTTCGAAATGTTCCTATGTTGTCAATAAGTGAAAAACGACAATTAAACTAGTATGGTAGTGTAGTTAATTGTTAAACATATAAATAACTCAATAATAAATAGTTGAATGTAATAAATTTGTTAATTATATCACATTACGAAAGGAAATAAGTAGGTAATCAATGAGTTAGTTGCAAATTATCAAGTAAATCAGAACATCATTTTTTAATCTAAAAACGGCATTTTATATTTTTGCTAAACTTTATGGTAGGTATTACTTCATTAGGTAGACGTTAGGAAGGTACCAAGAGTAATATAGCTAAGTAAAAAATACGCTTTATGTCTGTTTTTATTCAATCGTTTGTTGTGAAAGCTACTAGCATTATGTTTAGTTACCGTAATCCGTTATAAAATTTAAAAATAGTTTTATTAGTACCTTTTAATAGGGAAAAAAATCGGGTAGGTTTAAATTTATATTCTGTAGAAAACAATTATTCGAGACTCAAATTATTGTTTCCAAGATTTTTGTAAAAATGTGTAAAATTGTATTGAAAAAAAAATATTTGAAAGAACAAAGTAAAATCATTAAAAATAACTTATTAACTTAAAGTTTAATATAAATATTATTTATTGATTTAACTGCATTTCATTCTAAACATTGCAAACTTTCACTAAATTAATCGGAAATTTGTTTTTAAACTTTAATATCATTTATGTAACAATTCATAACTTAATAACATAATAAGCTAACATACTACATCAATAACTATTAAATAATAACTATTGAGCATTAATAATAACCTACTTTGAATGGAAAAAATAAACATATATTTTGATAATTAGTATCGCTTCATTTAATTAATAAAAAAAATTATGATATTAAATTGTTTATTACGTGATGATAAGTAATTATGTTTTGAAATAGATTGTCAAAACGCTCACAAACAAACTATTTTGGTCGATTACGTAAACGAGTTTAATAAGCTCATAATTGTTTGGTGATAGTGATTGAACCTGTAATATAATATAATTTATTTGACTTAAATGATCTTTAAAAAAAAAAAATTATTATTAATTTTTAAATTATTAAAAAGTATGTGTTAAACTATAAAATAATATTGATTGTAAGTTTAAGTGTTAAGATTAATTTTTTTCCTCTAATATGATTAACAATGGTCAATAGACTAAATATTGTAGCCATACTCGTAAATTATAACTATTAGCATCGTTTCACACAATCACATAGTCCGTTATTCGTAATCATAAGTTATAAAAGAGATCTAGGATATGATGTAAATCAAAATTAGTTTAACTATCGTTAAATTAGGTCTAACATGTCAAAAACTAGATAGTCAATGTGATATAAATATTCAAATAGATGAAAGAAAATGTTGAGTATATTAAAAGTTATTTAAAATGACGTAAAACCTATTCTAGAATAATATTTTCAAAAAATGACTAAATTATACAATAGTTATAATAGGCATATTAAGAAATCATTTAAAATACCTAAAAAAGAATCTCACCAATATTGCTAACAAAAATAATTTATGGAATTTTTTTTTTAATGTACAATATCAGAAGATAATTGAAAAAATAAATAAATATCGCAATACGTAATTTATCTCATATTTATTTTATTGGTACTATTAATCTTTAATGGTTAATTTTATAATCTTTGATACTAGCAATTTTATTTTATACATCTAGAAATGTTTCAGGAAGTTATAAACTGAATAGGAAGAATAACAAACAATTAAATAATCCAAATAAAACATGCAATATAATTTCACTTAATTTTACACAATATTATAATGTAATATGGGTTATAAAAATTAATTCATATTTTGAATATTTATTTTTTTTTAATTTTAGCACGGATATATCAATATTAGAAAACTAAATAATTTTTTATCGAAAACATTATATTGATGGTCAATCTATAAAGTAGTATCTAAAATTCTAAATTGATCATGCAAATAAATTATATTTAATAAATGTACGTACAATTTTAATTAATTTATACAATTAATTTGTGTTTTTTTTAAATTGATACCTGTTTATTTATTTAATACAAAATAATAACCATCAAATCAACATCTTGCGTTTGTATAAATATGTATAATATATAATTCTAAAATATAAGTTACGTATTTTTAGTATTATATCAATTTATTTAATAATTTAGCATTATTCTCCATAATGTAGACACTTTAAAATTAGATTTGTTATCGATTTCCTATCTATCAATATAAATAGCATATATATGATGTCGAGTCCCACTGACTTGTACAGATGTACAGATGATTATTAAATTAATAGTATGGCAATTATATTTAATTAAACTTATAATTTATGTTTAAAAAAAAATAAAATTATTTATTTTAAAAAATAATTTATTTTTATATAAATGGGTAGGAAGTTAAAAAAAATCTTAGCTATAGGAGCTATTATACAAGATGTCAACATAATTTATATATTAAATGTACACTTTTAACTTAACGAGCACTCTAATTTTTAAAATATAAATAATATGATTACTTAAGAGGACGTCATAACAAAACATATTTGTTATGACTATATTATAACATAACGCAACAGCGACATTACATTTTGTAGACTGAAATCTACTTACAGATCTAAAGAAAAAAACGATACCGTTGTAAGTGATGGTGAATAACTGAAGTGTTTAACGTTATTTATTAGTATTTAAAAAAATTAAAATTAAATTATAATTATAAAACAAATTACCTATATTGCTCATTGCTACAGATTTATGAAACAAAGATGATGAAACGATTCGATCATAAAAATATTCTCGACTCATTTTTATAGTGAATTAATATGCTGTAATGTTAATCTGAATACTATTTTATTACCTTATATTTTCTAAGTTACAACTTAACACTAATGGAGTGTAATTGGTCATATTACGCAGATTATAAAGAAATACAATGAATACAAAGTTAATTTAATTTTAGAAAGTGTAATTACACGAAAATAAGTATAAATTTTCAAAAATATTATGACATACGTATTTTGTTTTAGTTAAACAATAATAAACACATATTTTTTATAATTATTGTGCGTGAAATCTTCCTAATGTTACAAAATAGTCATAGGTAGTTTTATATTTATTACATTATAAAATTGTACTTGTATGCTGTATTTACTATTGTAAATGAATACCATAAAGATATTTGTAAATTTAATTATATAACTATATTGTAAAATAACCAAAATTAGAAAGCAAAAAAGTTACATTACTGTTTGAGAAAAATAATGTGAAAAACAAATATATTTTTTGAATTATTAGTTATCTACTCATAATGTTATAGAAAGTAACAATCCGAGGGCAGTGAATAAAGAACACATAGAAAATATTTTTTTAATATTTATTTTATAATAGATTCAAAGTTTGATTTATGTTTTTAATATTCTTATTTATTAGGATTAAATATTTACATTCAGAAAACAAATTAGGACTTAATATTATATATATGTAAACATATGGTACAGGTGAACATTCTATAAACCTTTCTTCCAAAAACGTTAATATCTATTAATAATTATTTATTTATCTGATAAAATTACATAACAAACGATAATATACTAAGTATCTGACATCAATATCTGATGAGTGATGAGTTAGACCATAATTCCTATTAAAATATGTAAAATACAAATACATCTTTACTCATTATCTTGATAATTACTAGTTTCAGTTTTACTATCACTACGGATATATAATTTCAATATAAATCTCTTTCTAAATTTCATAATCAATATTATATAATATTAGAATATCCTTTTAACTACTAAGAAAATATACCTACTTATAAATCTTTCATATTCACTATACAGTATGTATAGATTATTAATAGTGGGTTTGGATAGACACCTAATACTATACCAGTTAATAGTTGTTAATTGTTATAGATTATAGATTATTAAAATTTAAATTAATTTTCTAATTTACATGTATTTACTATGGCGGTTTATTGGTTTTAATAAAGTAGGAATACAATTTTATGTCTATAATATAAAGTTAAGGATAATTTAGAAACTATAGTAAGTAGATTGTTCATGCAGATGCAATTCGAAAACAATTAAAAATAAGCTTATATTTTTTATAAATAGTTATTTCAATAATTATCATAATCATTATTTCATTTTATGGATAAACAAAATATGTATTAGTAATATTAGTAAATTTA